ATTTGCAGCATGTATAAAATAAAGGCAACCTAAAATCTGGAGTAGGTCAAAAGGGAGCTTATCGTATGTGAGAGTCTCTTGATGAAAGTCCGGACCGTGGGAACGTGTTTTCTCCGCAGTTTGCTTGCTACACGTATTCCATAATTGTCCATGGAGTTGGAGTGTTTGGCTGACTCCTTGCTCCCTGCGCGCGCGAGTCTGTCCGTGTTGACTGTGTTGTCTCTTCCTATATATAGGAAAGTTTGACGTGTGTATAGAGCAGAATCGTTCCGATGCGTGCAAGACAGGAACTGACTTGTTCTCGGTCAAGGTTGCGGGCGGGACGGCGTTTGTCACGTGATTTGTGTGCTTGTGTAGCAGGCCAGTCTAGTGATCTAGTAAACCCGCATGCACTAGACAAATTAGGTGAGGTTGGTTGAGGGGATATGGAAATGTCCGCTACAGTTTTCACCACAACTTCCGCAGTGGGGATTAACACGCTCGGCCGAACAATCAGGATTTTGACGTTGTCCATCGATATCTGGAATCCGGCTGAGGTCCGTTTGCTGAAGTTCATGGGCCGTGTCGGTCTACACGACTGGTACGGTGAACGTCACGCAAATCGATCCCCATACGGCAACATGGGCCATCCCCAGCTGAAACGTCCCTGTTCGTCACTTAGCCACGTAGCGACGCACACTATTGTTGCAGCATATCTTGTCTAGGTCTACGCTGTTCTGATCCGCGCTTTCCACAGTCGTGTGGTGCTCAGATACGGAACAAGTGGCCAGGGTTTCGAATCTTCCTAGAAATTAGCCATATGGATAGCGCTTGTAGCCTGGGCTGACAATAAATGCAGGATATCGTCTAGAGGATTCACATGGTACTTCGCATCTTTCGGTTGTGTAATTGGCTAATGCGGTTTGAATCAAGTGAAGTTTCATCCTGTCTGTGCTACAGACCTCTACTGAAAAGTGTTTATAGGGAATCCGCACTCGATTCCGCGGCCGTCCCGCCAGTGGTTGAACACTTTAGTGTTCCGCCACGACAGGCGGAATAGCAGTGCGATTGGCTCTCGCTTATGAGTGTGTCGTACGTATTGTTGATTCCTTCATTAGTTTGTAAACTAATCTACCCGATAAATTCGAGTTAACTGCTTTGACACACTGCTTAAGAAAGTTCTAGTAGTTGCGCACCGTTGGTTAGCATTTCAAATAACAGCTTTTCACATGTGATTGACATCTGGTAACACCGTTAGCAGGTGTCATCGCACCGATGTTGGGAGATTCGCTTGGAATAAGCCATGTGCTGCAAGCTGCGTCCATCGTCCGGTTACAAGACATGGCGAGTATGAGGCGGAAGTGGAAGTTCGGTGGTAATCCAGCTGAGGACTCCGTCTCAAATAAGGGAAATTTCGTTCTTCATCTTATCGCTGCATCGCTATCTTTTCCTCCCAAGCAACGCCAAGGGTAGACCACACGGTGGTTATGATGACCATCCTATAGAGTAAGGTGCGTGTACTCCAGCGGTCAGCACTGGGATAGCAGCCAAGCACCGTTGTTGACTCCTGATATTGTACCGTCGATATTGTTGATTATCATGATACCCTCAGTGTTGATTCTCTTCTGTCGGTGGTTGAAAATGCGCACTTTACTTAACTGGTTACCAGGTTTACTTATATTACTATTTGTTTCGGTGGTAGTCATAAGTGTAAAATGTGCGCACTTGTTTTCCAACCAACACCCATTTTACTCGGTATTGACAGGCGGTTCATTCTTCCGCCCTCTTTGTCAGCAATGGTCTATCTCACGAAATGTTGCCTTTTCGCTGGTGCTACTCTCGCTCGCCTCAGTATTCTGTCTCTCCACGTTGTATGGGCTCTATGGTTACGTGAGCCAAACGGTTCCCCTCCCATCAACCGGAGTGTCTGCCCTCTACACTTCTCTACATCGACCGGTATTCATCTTGGGAATAGCGATTGTATGTTTTCTGTGCACGAACGGCTATGTGCGTAAGTCCCTTGCATGGTTGTTAGTCGTTTTGTGTTGCGGTGTAGAAATGTCTTCTGCATCACGTTATCCGTGTGGTGAGTGTAAATTTTTTCTCATCGGTAACTAATATTGTTTCTCGACTGTCTTCTCTAGTGCAGTGTTTCAATGAAGGCTTCACCCCCTTCGTCTTTCGTTTCATTCGTTTCTCGGTTCTTTCCTCCTCACTAGCTCCGATCCGATCGCTACTCACCTGGACAGGGTTTCGTCCGTTCGCCCGATTGACCTATGGGGTCTATCTTGTTCATCCTCTTATAATACTGTTTCTTTGCCTGGGTGGACAGTATCCGATAATATTGGATAACTTATTTCTGGTAAGTTGCCGTCGACAAAGCGCATTGTGGTTGCCACTTGCTGGGTAAATGTCTTCTGCATCAAGTTATCCGTGTGGTGTGTGTAAATTTTTTCTCATCGGTAACTAATATTGTTTCTCGACTGTCTTCTCTAGTGCAGTGTTTCAATGAAGGCTTCACCCCCTTCGTCTTTCGTTTCATTCGTTTCTCGGTTCTTTCCTCCTCGCTAGCTCCGATCCGATCGCTACTCACCTGGACAGGGTTTCGTCCGTTCGCCCGATTGACCTATGGGGTCTATCTTGTTCATCCTCTTATAATACTGTTTCTTTGCCTGGGTGGACAGTATCCGATAATATTGGATAACTTATTTCTGGTAAGTTGCCGTCGACAAAGCGCATTGTGGTTGCCACTTGCTGGGTCTGCAGATCAAATTAAGTTTGACACAGTTGTAACACCCTTTCGGTGCCTAACTGCCATGCAACCCGGGGGTAGCACGAGGGCTGAGATACTGCCAGGTTGCTCAAGCCTAAACAGGGGGAGTCGAGAGGCAGTGGTCGGGGTCGAACCATAGACCTTCCGGTTGGTAAGTTCGCTCTCTAACCACTGAGCCATCTCGCCGAATAATAATAGCCACCAGCTACCACTCATCTAAGGTCTACAGTTGACGTAGAACCCGCTGAAGAACACCGTAATGCGACGACAGGACTTCGAAGTTAACGGTACAAGCCACTGAGGTTGTGATTTCACAACTCCGATGCCACTTATTAGCTTGTTGTTCCGCCATCTATTGAAAAAAAACAGTACCTGAGACAGGACAAAGGAAAATTACTGTAGTTGCATTTATAGGGTGTATTAACCACAAGGTAACGGTAGATTCTTTGTGCCAAGACGCGAAGCCAACATGTTTAATTGTTATTGCCTGATTTTCTGACCTATCAAGACGTAGTTCTGGCCTGAGTAAGTAAGTCGGTTGATAGGGTTGACGAAGCTTTTGTGTCAAAAGCGAAACGTTGCCCAGCAATAAATCCACCGATTGTTTACCAAACCTCTCTGAAACGATGACTTCCCAATCGGTCCCAAACATTTTCCAATTGATTTTCTCCACAGTCTTTCTGAGGCCCTGCTAAACCCCTCAACTAGTTTCCTGACCATAAATTTCCAACGATGTGTTCTGAATAATTTACTACTCAATAGAGACCCAGTGAACTGAAAACTTAAACAGCTTTCTTTTCTCTCTCTCTAGATCTCCCTATTCCTCGCAGTTTTTACACTGAGCTACGGATTTGCCTACCTCCTCTCGATGATGACGGAATCACCCACTTTGGCTTGTGAAAAACTCCTGGGTCTACGCTAAACATTCATATTTCGAAGATTCTCATTCAAGCTCTTTCTATATTTCCTCTACTTATCTTGAACTGATCATTTTTGTCACCAAGTTAATTTGCTAATTTTTGACTTTTTTTAAAAAAAAGATATTTTTAGTCACGTCGATTTTCTTGACGCACATAAAGCTATTTTTCTATTTAGATCTATGACTTCTCATAACCTCTCACAACGTTTGTGTGCTTTTTTTTATTCGATTTCTCCTCTTGTGCTATAGTGGTTACTAGTCTCGTTTGCTATAGTCAACTGTAGAGTGAGCACACCTCACTGAGCACACTCGTTTCGCCTTACATCCACCTCACTGTCACCGATCCGATCCCCAGCCACCTGACCAGAGTTTCCTTCATTCCCCAGATTGACCTGTAGGGTTCACCTGATTCGCCCGATTGTAGTAACACTGTTCCTCTGTCTTGGCGGAAGTCCTCTGCTAATACTGGATGATTTATGGTTGGTAAGTCACGTCACATCTTTCTTAGTACATTTTACGTAAGCAGGTGCGATTCCATCTGCCACCTTTTTGTTTAGTGTAGCATGGTTGATTGACTTTAGAGAACTACACTTTTGAAGAGGCAGGAATAGTGAGTCGAAGAATCTCGGTTGCAGCGTGTCTTCAGGGGATTCAGTGAAATTTCGGAGGTGTGCACTCAGGGCAGCAACTCAGATGCAGGAATGCCACTGGGCACGCGCTTTTCCGCTATGTTCATCAACAGTTTTGCTTCTTTTGTTCGTCGCTTACTGGTAGATGACGGTTTCGCGTTTCATCTGGGTAGTTTCACTGGGTAGTTCCCTCCAAATTATGCTGCAGACTTATTCGGGTTATTTGATATCCCTTGAGTTTCTGACACCGATTCCGTATAGACAATATCCCACCATCTGAGTGCAGTTTGACTCCAAAGACTGTAAGAGCTGATAAGAATTCCTCTTTGCTCATCATCATTATCATCATTGACAGCGTAACATCAGTGTCCAACACCGATGCTTCATTGCCGTACAACCATGATTTATTTGAAAGCCTTATTGTAAAGAAAAGAGTAAAGGTGGACGGGGAAGGGACTTAGTGCTAGCTTACCACAATCATTTCGAGGTGCTTATACCTCCAGACATTCACTCAGGCGATCTGGATAAAAGTTGACAACAAGAACGCCACTGACATCGGTTGGCAGCCATATCTTGTAGTGTCTCCAACCAGGCACAGTGAGGATCACGCGGTCCCCATCCTGGAAGGCGAGTAGCACTAACAGCACCCAAGTGTTTCGTGATTTCCTTCATACCCTACCAAGTCAAGGGTTGGCCACCTGTCTGTTTACGCCACTCTGAGTTGGGCATGGAAAACAGCACTCCCTTCGGCAAACGATGGTCCGACACACGCAACACATGTCCCAACCAACGCAGCTTCTGGTGCTCGACACGTGAGACAAGCGGCTCTTTTTGATACCTCTTAATCTGGCCGGTTCATGTGAGCGTCTGTGGTAGACTGGTCACGTGGTTGGCATGTAGCTGTAATTTGTTAATGATTTTGGTGACCATATAATAGTGTATTATGTCAAGAGTTGAGATTTTAGTGGGAATACTGTTGTCCAATAGGCCGCCATAGCGCATAGAGAGCAATAGTCGATATCACTGTGGAATCGTCCCATTTCTGTGATATTTTGCGCTCGAGATGGCTTGTAAAAGTTCAGTTATGCGGGTTACCGGACATACTATGTTTTCTCCAAATCAGCCAATAGGCACTCCGCTCTAGGCTGATGTCTTCGCGTTTCCAATGCAACATTTCGCGCCATGCTTCATCATCTGTTAGGTATCTGAGGCCCACACCCGATTTGCTTGCACCCATTGTGTCTGCAGAAACCGAACGACCTCTCGAAATACCTATCCAATTCCCCAACCGATATATTTACGATTAAATTATTAGTTGATTGCCTTGCTGACGTTGTTCCGACAGGCCGATTGAATCAGCTGATAAGGGGCATAAACGTTTTTGATGGCTAATCATGTAGCTATCTAACCTTAAGCAGGGTCGCTGGTATGAACGCTATTCAGTGTTCTTTCGCTTGTGTAAGAGGAACAAAAACGGACCGTTTCAATCATTGTCATCACAGTTCGATTTCTATGACTGCTCATCATCTATGGTTCCATGGACATTGGTCTCATGCAGCGCCCATTTAAAGTGAATGGGGCGACAGCATTCTGGATGCGCCATTGACAACTGGCATTCTGAAGATACTGAAATATGATTGGTTGTTGTGTCCTCACTTTCGGCCAATCACAGCCCGCCACTTTTTGATCGTAGCGGTGCTTAACCGCGAGCTTTAAAGTGGATTTGTTGCAAGCTTTTACGGACAACTACTGGACTGTGTTAGTCAGTTTGAAGTCGATATATGCCTTCCATTGATTTCAGCCCCAGGCCATTTTAATAAACATTTTTCAATTTGACTCTTGAACTCACCCGGTCATTCGAGTTATAGGCAACTTTGTAAATTTTTGCTTCCCTCTGACTGCCTGTCATATCAGGCTCAGGTTGTCGTTCTTTCCACACACATCGGTGCTAAAAGCCTGAATCTCACGTGTTGACGACTGGGTTGCTTTTACGAAATTCGCGCAGGCTTTATGACAGTACTGTATCACATGTGTATCGCATGCTTCCACAAAAACGAACATGAGGTTGACGGAAAATTCGGGGACTGCGCCCACCTGATGAGCCCTAAGATGGGCGAAACCGGTCGTGGGCTGTCGAGGAATTTTCAGCAATCTTATGACAGTTTAAATACCGGAAAAATTACCGGCAGCCTCACCTGTAGCCTTACTGACCGCACACCCTTTTCACCTTACCGAATGCCACCTGTTCAATTCCTGCATAACCGTGTCAGCTGTTGATGAGGATAATCGTTTTCAGTCTACGGCATCGTTGGTACTCAGCGACTTCTTTGAACAGTGCCTAGAGACTGACCTGCTTAATGAGTCACTAATTGCATCCATCCTTGGACTTTGTCCTTCCCCGTAATCAATACGACAATTAAACATTTTCCTCTTTTTCAGGTCTTCCTGCTTATCGCGGTTTCTGCTCTAGGCTGTGGTCCCGCCTATATACGTTCAGTGACGATGGAATCACTCATTTTCGCTTCTATGAAGTTTTCATGAGTACGCTAGTTATTTTGCTCTCCTAGGTCTTGAATCAGGCTATTTCAACGCTTCATTTTGTCGCAGGTGTTTTCCTCACTATTCTTTTTTTGCCTGACTGCATTGCATGATTTCTAGTAACGGCAGGGATTTGTGAAAAAAATCCTACTCGTTTGGTTTTCCACTGCTCTCCGCAGCTGGTTTGTGTATTTATCCCCAACTGTAAACCTTAGGGTTGTCGTTTTAGGCGCTGCATTTTCCTTCTGTCATATGCGTCAGATCGGGTTCCAATGGGTAAATATTGGAGCTCCAGAAAACTTGGGCGGTATGTCTCACTGGTTAGAGCACGAACTTACTAACCGGAAGATCCGTGGTTCGAACTCGGCCTTTGCCTCTCGACTTCTCCTGTCTAGGCTTGGGCAACTTGGCAGTGTCCCAGCCCTCCTGGTTCCTTCGGGTTGAATGGCAGCTAGGCACCGAAAGCGTGTTACAGCTGAACGATTCACTTGCGGGGTCGTAAGCCGTTGGCGCAGATCTGCTTGGTTCGATCCTCATTATCTTACCTGGAGTATGCAGATGTGCTTCCTCCGGGTTGCGTGACAGCACTCCAATTTGTATGCTTTGGCTACACGGTAGGCTACTAACCGCTTTTTCGGAATAATGCCGTCATAAGTTATCGGACTTCATTGCATTCAACCTACAATTGAAGCGACCACCTTAGCCGATCAAAGTGTTCTCCCCTGAAGGGGCACCTGTGGATTACGGGGAAAAGTGTTTCCGCCCTTCGTTCCGTCGTTCGACTCCTCGGACGGCGTACAGTTTTCAATTACTTATGATTTTCAAGTCTTGTTTACTGCAGGTGGTTGCTGGCGTACCTGAGATGTATCGTCCCTCGATGTTTGCCTTACCCCATTTTCTCATAATTTTCACTATCAGTACTTCGAATTATTAAAATATACCAAATGGAGTTGGTTCCTGGAAACGTGTCGAACTTTGTCAGTTAACAACACATTCTATTAGAATGATAGTATTTCCTGATGGCGAACTGCCGAGCTAGTCTGAACTTTTGTCCCTTTGAGTCATCAGGTGGGCACCAATAAGTTCACTCGTGAACAGAAATGTCCGTGTGGATCAGTTTATTGGGGTTTGACCCCATATGTACTACACATCACAACCATGGCGCACTGATGGACGACTGTCGGCGTGCTGGTGTGGCGCCAACGTTCGACTTCGTGGAGTACACCAAGCTATGGCTGATGGCCGTATGAGCCCATCTACGGATGATATACACCCATAAAAGTTCGACCAACCATTCAAGAAAAGTTTGTTTCTGTACTCGGAAGAACCGGTACTAGATAGAGCGTCCAATACGAAGGAAACCTGCGTTGAAGCTAACGTGCACATATTTTCTTCTGTTTCGTGGTTTCAACTTAGAGACCGTACATGGAGTGCGCTTCATTTGCAAGCGAGCCCTCCCCCGAACGGGGACCAAACATAGGAACTGGCCAGTGGTCAATTTTGTCACTGATGTGAGGTGGCAGATGGACAGCCCTGTTATGTTAGGTGAAATTCCTTGTCAACGCCGTCTCACTGCTCATAGCAAGTCACCCTGACGGATAGTAAACCTTATTTGCACGTGATTGGTCAAAATATCTACCTTCTATTCCTTTTGGTCGAGTGGAAATATGAACCTGACAACCGTACTGAAGTATCCTCTGGGTGTACTTGTCGCTGGTGCGTCCAGAATGTAGTGGAAGTTTCAGAAATATAATACTGTGTACACTGTAAATACGATTCACTATATGGTCGTCACTTGATTTGGGCGTTCAACGTACTCGGTCTACCCTTGGCGGC